GAAAATTCCACGTTTGCTTTTTCTTGAAGAAAAATCGGGCTGCGTCCCTGTGTTAGCCGAGATCCACTGCCACTTGCTGAGGCACAAGTCAACGTTCCGTCATTGGCGGCGGAGCTACCGATGCCAGCAGCATCGCCTCTTTACGCGGGAAGCAAGTATGAACCTCCTCTATCTAACTCACTAACTTCTGAGCTCATTTCTGTTTGCCTGCCGGTCTGTCTGCTCACGGCTGTGTAGCCAGACGCACAGCACAGATGGCTGCACGCATTGCCGAGAGAGTTGTGTGCGTGCGATATGTTGAACTTTCGTGACGATCCGGGACAGAAACACACGTCTGACCGATACCGGTATCGATCACAGCATAAGAAGGAGAATGCGGGGGCATGTTTTGGCAGTTAACACGGAGACGCTTTTCCTACACTTTTCTAATGCCTATAGGGAAAATAAGCCGTGTAAAAGCCAAGCGGTCAAAAACGCCGCAAAGCACGATCAGGGATGAATAAAGCATCCCCACGTGCAGGGTACCACAAATAGACGCAAGCATAGCAAACTTGAACGGAGTGTCTCTCCTTTAGGGCATATTTCAAAAACAGTCTAGTGAAACCTGAGAATCAGTTACGAAGTTAAGCCTAACAATGACACTGGGTAGTGACACTGCAAGCTTGTCAATGTCAAGGTGGATATAAATTTCAGTCATTTTTTGAAATATTAAAAATATCATTCAGCCTAAATTACGCTGCCAATGCCTTGTAGGAGCACTAGAATTCTACCATGCAGTCGCAACTGCCGTCGTCATGACAACCGCCGTAGCACCTCCTACTGGTGCGAATTGAAGAACGTTTATGTTTGGCCCCCAGACGCCGAGGACCTGTTACGGGAAAGCGCATCGGTATTGAATTTTGAACCAGTACGTCACTATAGTCCATGTGATACTCTCTTTCCCAAGGCCAAAACGCACCTCGAAAAGAGCCACTGTGGTAACACCATAGGAGAGACAGTCAAAGAAATGGTATAGCGTTTCGTTGAATTCGCCGGATAATAGCTTCGTGATCGCGTATCTTTTTATCAAAACTGAGTGTTTCAGGCTTTCGTAGTATCTATTCCACAAACATTTTGACAAATGGGAGTGTTGCAAACATTACAGAAAGTAGGGCAGTGACACGCATCCCTTTCATAATGGTGCGCGGGGAGGAATGCAATAAGATTTCTCCCGCCGGGGCGGCTGCTTCAGATCGAAATTCTGAGCTTTTAAGAAGGATTTCGAAAAATTGGTACCACTGACCGAATCGTACATGACTGATGGAACAGTGGCCGAACAGTACAAAAAGACGGGATGCTTCCTTAAAAAAGGAATCAGGACGCACTGCTCTGGCGTTACCAAAGTAGATAGAGAATGTGATAACTAATACAACTATCATACAATCTGGATGTTGTGGGCTTTTTTGAATGCATTCCAGCAAACAGAACAGCTAAGCAAGTATCATTTTCTGCAGCACTGATTTGGGTCTGTAGCCAATATCATGAAAAACACGTCACTGTCTGCAAAAGTGATACGGCACCAAAAACAATAACGGCAATCTCCAGAATATCTTTAAAAGATGACGCGACAGCAAATCTGATTTTTTCCTATGCTGACATGTTTTCTTCTTCTACTGACGAATTTTTTACAGGACAGGTGGGTTGGCGCATTGTGCACCGGAACACAGTCACCTTTCACAAGTTTTTGGGCAAGCAAGGCGTGACACAATTTGGAAAGCATAATAATTATACAAAATATATATTTAGCGAGAGTTCAGAAATATTGTAAGACAACGTAAGTTTTTTTAAAGAAAAATTGCGTCCTAAAAGTCACACATATTAAGCTGCATTACCATAAACCCCAGCTGTGACTGCATTTTGGAAGGAACTCGCGGTAAAATGCGGTTTTATAACTAAACGGTCTTTTAACCAAAAATCGGCACGAAATTGTGCAAAAACCTGCGAGTCGACGGTTTTGTGGGTTGTGCAAGCGCAGGATCGCATCTATGTGACATGTGTGTATGTGTAAATCAGGCGCTTGAAATAGGTGTGATCACTTGAAGTGCGTGCCCGCGGCTTTGGATTTCTGTTGATGTGATGGAGAATGTCAGTAATAGATGTATACTGCTGTGGGAGAACGTTGTTTGTTTGGTATACTCAAAATGCAGCTATTTCTAAAAAGATGGGCTCTAGTGATCTCTGCCTTTATCTTTATGTTTGCATTTAAACGTGACAAGTTGAGGTGATGTCAATTAACCATACAGAACACCGGTGTTACCTACGCTATGAGGGTGTAGGAATGCAGTGTGCTACTAAGTTCATGCTCTTGCCAACATACTGAACCTAAAGGTATGAACCCGTGCAATTAATCCATTGCATGCCATTATTTTAACAATTCACTTAAGCAACATTGTGGGGCTGTCCATATGACTTGATCAAGGTAATATGCTTGGTACAAGGTTACTTGACATGGCCTTGCAAAATTATCCATGCCTTCAGAATCTTAGAAACATGGTGCTGTATTGTTAATGAGCGCACATATTACTGTCTTAACAAATCTTCTGTGCAGGCAAAGTACGACCCCTGAGTTACTGAAGTCACGCTTTCGGAGACTGTATTGAAGAATTGCCAAATAACTTTTAACTGTGTGCTGCATTGAAAGTACGGTAAAACCTCTGACAATTGCTGTCATCCCTTTTCCCTGCATCTGCTCATTCTGTTCAAAATCTGGGTGTTTCTGAGTCCCTTAGATTTTTATGAGATGCTGGGAGGATGCCAGAGTATTGATGATAAGTTCTGGGAGCGCACTTAGAAATACTTTTATTACGAGCCTTGTGTACACTGGCAGTTTCGTCACTCACTTCCTTGAAATTCAATCACCTAACTGCGACTGCACACAGTTGTCATACCTCCATGGCCTTGGGCAAAGCTGGCAGGTTTGCAATGCCTTTTCACAATATGTAACGTCTTCTTGTGTTGTTGCATGTCTTATTACCTGTTTGAGCAACACTTCTGCTGAAGGAGACTTATGACTTTGTGCGGCTATGCGGCTATGAAAGCACAGCACCCCTTAAAGCAACTTATTATTGTTCTTTGGGTGCACTCCTGTAAGGTGGGAACGCCATGAATAATGCGATCACTTTCTTTCGTGCGAAATTCGGAGAAAAAACTTGCATCAGTTTCTTAATTATACTACTAACATTGAATTAGTTATTCCGTGGTATGACACTGCCAGGGAATGTGGTAGACCGCCTCCTGCTGCTGAAAATGCTTGTTATTTGCATGTTGTAATTTCACATCTGTTTAGATCGAACGTACTTTCAACGTAACCTTAACCTAAAACTTTATAAGTATGTTATTATAAACAGTGAGTGTCAATGCTGACTCATCTATATTGGTCAAAGGGTGCACTAATGGCTTTTGGTTTGGGGTTCATTTAACACTAAGAACAGATTTTCATCTTATAGTAGGATTTTTTCCATCATACCTTTCAAACCAAATACTTTGCTTTCATCAGTTATCTGATCGTCATTTACCTTGGCATTAATTTATTTCCATTGTGTTAACAACATGAAGCCGCAGCTCTGAAACTGGGCTAGGTAAAAATGTGCACCGTATGGCAATAACAATTGGCCTGCATTGAATTTTTAACTGCTACGGTCGCAATGCATAGACGCATACCCAAGTCATATCCACAGTAAGGCACGTATCTTCATCAATGCCCCGTCCCCCCCCCCTCGCCACACACACAACAGAACATGAGAAGCATACAAGATGCCAGACCCTGCACCAATAAAGCATGGTTCGGACAATATTGGAGCATTCAATGTTTGATTTCCTAACGCAAGTGTTTGAAATTGCAATCCAAATGCACGAGTGTTTTACCGAAGTCGAAAAAACGGCGGGGTGGGTGGTTCTTTATCTGACGTAAAGTTTGTTGTCTTTTCTCAACTATGGCGCAGTGTCGCGCCACAGATTGTCCCACATAGAGTTTCCTGACGCTCAAATGGCCTTCGTCGTCTGCTTTTTCATAACGTATTTTCCAGGGTATAATTTTTGGCCAAACGGCTTAAAATATTCCGTAAAGTAAAACTGACAAAAAAGCACGTCGGTGGCGTGATTTTCTGTGATGCTGCTACTGGTCGACTTTTCGTTGGAATTGGTGGACCCCTCTGTAATCAACTACGGGCTTTATTCACCATTGCATTCTTAAATCGCAGTCAGCGTGTAGTCCATTCTGGCTGGTCATGAACGCCCAGGTCTTCAGAAAGACTCTATGAATCAGATTCAGATCTAACCGAAATTGCTTTGAACCGGTATCTGTCGATTCGATCGGATACAAGCACGGATCTCACAATGATTAATGCTTAAGAGGTGTAGTTAGCAAGACATGTAGTTAGCAACATGCGCGCTTGAATGAATTTGGTCAGTCAAATCCTAGCTTTGGGGGTGTGCGCAACCCCACAAATACCTTTGGTCGTTGTTAGCTTGCCGTTGCGGATCATTTAATCAGGTTGCACGAATTACTTTCCTCTATTTAATACCTGCCGTGTTAAATCCAGCTGTTTGTTCCTTTCCAGCATAAGCCAGAGAGCCTAGCTGGTAGAACTGACCGGTTCGTTGCTAAAACACGACACAACCCAGCACGTAGTAACGCAAAATTAATTCGCAGATAATCTGATCGTTATGCCATTTAAGTCTATTAAGCAATGAAGATTTAATAACCACACACTAATTTCAACCAGCTTTAATCTATGGAATCGCCGCGTCCTTATCGAATTAAGATCATTTACACCAGCGCTGGTTCTATTTCTCATCCAAAACGAGACTCTAATGGAGGAGCGAGCCGACGGCGTCGCTGATTGGCCGGCGTCGCACGGGCTCCGCCCACCGATGGATCCGGGGGCGGGGCATGGGCGGAGCGCCGTGCGCCAGTGAGCTCTGGGCCCGGTTCTGCCGGCCGGCATTCCGCCAAGGCCGGGAGCTCCAATAACAAGTGTCGCACCTTCGGCGGCAGCCGGACAGGCGTGCCACATCTTTCCAGAGTGCCTTGCAGACTCTGCTGACTCTGAGTGTACGAGAGTGCGAGCCGTGAGTGTCCTCCTCGAGCCGCGGACCGCGCGGGCCCGAACTCTCCGTTCAACCGCCCGGGCTCCGCCGCACCGCCATCAGAGACGCTTGCACCGCACTACCGCACTCGGAACTCACCGCCGCGGAGCCTGTGTGTGCGAGCCCGGCGTCAGGCTCGCCGGAGCCGGAGCCGGAGCCGGAGCCGGAGGCCGCCGGTCGGGGCATGCGGCGTTAAGCTGGCGCCCCCAGCGCCGCGCCCGCGCCAGCCGTCGCCGCGCACCATGCTCCTGGAGACGATGCTGCCGCACCTCAGCTACAACGGCATGAGCATGCCGTTCGGCATGTTCATGCCGCGGCCGCTGGTCGGCCTGCCGGGCCACAACGGGCTGCCGCTGCCATTCGCCGTGGCGCGGCCGAAGCCGGTGCCGCCGCTCTCCAACGAGCATCCGGGCCTGCCCTTCAGCATGCAGCGTATCCTGACCGGCCACCTGGGCCAGCTGGGCCAGCTGGGTCAGATCGGCCAGCCGCCCAAGTCGCCCGACGAGCGCTACGAGAAGGAGATGGATGAAGGTGAGCTCGGGTGCGGTGGGGCGCGTGTTCGCGGCGCGGTGGCGCCGTGGTTTTGCTTGCCCCGCGGTCGGGCAGGCGCTGTGACACTGAGCGAGACTCCGACCACCCGACTGCAGTCTGGCCAGACCGCCCGCAGTCTGGCCAGTCTGGCAGCCCGGTGCGCCCGGTCCGCTGCCGGCCGGCCGGGGCCGGAAACACCGACCCGCGCGCCGCCCCTCCGTGCTGGCCGGCCCAGCGTGTGAGCCACCACACGCGCGGCCGCACCCCACCCATGCCACGGACCCGCCGCCCGCGGAGCCCAGTTCGCCAAACACGCGTGATGCCGCTAACCCGGATGACAAAGCGTAGACCGGACGTGGCTGCGGCTAGGGCACGCTTGCGACAGTGAGCCGTCAGGATCCACGAAAAAATGATTCATTGTCCAGATAAAAGCGCTACAGTGACGCTCGTTTCAATCAAAGCCGGCAGGCTGCTGCCGAGCTCACCGCGCGTGCCTCACTTTTCGCCGCGAAACGCAGCAGCGTTGTTACACCCAGACCCCGAGCGGCGCCGGTGAGGCCTCCTCTCTGCTGGAGCGTGACCCAGCTCGGGTCAAGGAGGGCGATGTCAAGCGGCAGGCTCCGGTTAGCACTCCGGGACATGCGGTCCGATCCGGTCCGGTCCGGTCCAGTCCGGTCCGGTGCGGTGCGGTCCGTTTAGTCCGGTCCGTTCGGCCCGGTCGGCGTCACCTTCCGCAGGTGGACGTCGGTGCGTTCGGCTGAGTGCTTCGGTTGCAGGCGGCGGAGAGGATGCTGCGGAATGAGCCCACGTGCGCGGGTTGAAGCGTCAAATGCATAGCTTGAGTTTATTGGTAACGTGTGAACGATACATTCGAAGCACATCCCTGGAACTTAAAAATGTTTTACTGCCCACTGACATTACCAAGCCCGGGTCCGGGGGTTAAATGGAGCATGCATCCACATTGTTCTTTGGGTGATGCATATAGTTCAGAAATACCTAGCTTCCTCTCTTTGACACCCAAACTCTCTGGGGCCTACCTGTGTCTTACAATGCGCCGCCTATCCCTTCCCTCCTCTCGGCTGCATCGAGAATGAATGGACTTGGGGCCCGGGGTTCAGCGAACCTCCTGCCGTTCGCACCAAACAGGGTAAACTTAATCAAGATGTGGGAGAAATCCGGGAGAAGGAGAACTCGATTCTGTCTCAGTTGGTTTCGGAGGGTTTATGTACCCTGTAATCGTCAGAGACGAACTTCGTATTTTATAACGGTTTAAGACGTCCAAACAAAAGGCTGGGATCAAGCCACTTTGTGCACGCTTTACAAACCAGCCTGCATAACCTGATCGTTGCATGAGCCAGGAACATCAGGCATTAGAAAGCTTATTGGAGGCTGCAAGTGTCAGCTCATCTGATGTTAACGGAGCTGTCCAGTTACGGACGAAATAAATCGCAACATGTTGACCGTACCTCCGTTTAATGATAGCCGAACATGCTCACACACCGCTCTCTCCCACACCGAAAAAGCAGTGCCACTGTTGAGCGCGAACAATGAACACTATGAACACTGTTGAACACTATTTGAACACAATGAATGAACACTATGAACACTATATGAACACTTTGAACACTATGTGAACACTTTGAACACTATATGAATAATATGAACGCTTTTGAATGAATACTATATCCACCCCATCAGCACTATGATGTGGGTTGGAAATGGACCAGTGCACGGGTTCTGCGCAAGGATGATTCACCGATTCTCTCATTTGCACAGGTTGCGCCCGAAACGCATGTCGCCAAAACTATGCACGTTAAGTGGATCGTGCACAAGGGTTAAGATGAGTAGACCCATAACATCCTAGGTGTCTTGAGTCTCTGGTGCATCACGAAACTCATGGGGCTCATTCGCTTATGCGCTCAAGCTCACGAGCGCGGACAAAGCTTAGGGAGTTCAGCTTACCAGCGAAAATACCGAACCGCTCAAACGAAACTGCGTTTCTCTCTTCGGCACAGCGAGATTGAGCGAGTTTGGTCTCGCAGCGAGGCAGCTGTAACGCTACGGCTGAACTTTGAACCGCGACAAATGATCCCAATTCGATTAGGTGATCGTCGGTCGCTGCAAATGTCCCGCCAAGATTTGACAGGTTTGACACATGCCACCGGCACTTTCGACCGTCCGCTTCATCAAAACGCGTCAGCTTAGTATCAATATGCTTCCAATGCGCTAGGCTTGTCATTTGTCGCTGTCTGAGCTAGTTAATTTCTTTGTGGCGATATATTGCATGCGTGCCACGGGCGAGGCTGAGAAGCACCCGAGCTGCCACGAGTCCAGCTAATACGTTTATTTGACAAGTCCGACTGTTGTCGAGGCACGCAGTCGATATGCCTCAAACTCCAAACCACAAGGAATTGACTGGGCCGGTCCACAGGCTCACATTGCCGGCCCAGCGGAATCGGAGGTCTTGGGGCCCGTCTTAGGGCTCACATTACTGGTCGAGCGGAATCGGAGGTTTCGGGCCCGTCTTAAGGCTCACATTGTGGGTGAAGCGGAATCGGAGGTCTCGGGGCCCGTCTTAAGGCTAACATTGCCGGCCGAGCGGAATCGGAAGCCTCGGGCTCGTCTAAAGGCTGACATTGCCGGCCGAGCGGAATCGGAGGTCTCGGGGCCGTCTAAAGGCTCATCACCGATCAAGCGGAATCGGAGGTCTCGGGCTCGCCTAAAGGCTGGCATTGCCGGCCGAGCGGAATCGGAGGTCTCGGGGCCGTCTAAAGGCTCATCACCGATCAAGCGGAATCGGAGGTCTCGGGCTCGTCTAAAGGCTGGCATTGCCGGCCGAGCGGAATCGGAGGTCTCGGGGCCGTCTTAAGGCTCACATTACCCGTATAGTGGAATCGGAGGCCTCGGAGCCGGCGCACCAGTATCTGCGGTTACATTGATCGATATGTTTGAGACGTAGCATGCCGTGCAACAGAAGTGATCATCGCTCACTTTTGCTGCGTCTCAGCGGCCGCAGCTCTAATTTAAGACTCAAGCGAGGCTCAAATTTGAGCCCTTGCAAACACGTGATCGTGCATAGACTACGCTTAGAATTGTGCACGGCGGTAAAGTTATGCACCTGGACTTCTTGCATCGGGTTGCCAGCCCATATCAACAAATTATTGCCTGCAGTGGCACTCAGCAATGTAAATCTAGAATGATTTAGTAGTAATGTGCTTTTAGAAATGCATGTGGAAAGAGGCGAAGGAGCCCGCAGTTGATACTGTGATCTATTCGCGAACATCGGTAAAGTACGAGTTAACCTTTAGGTAATGGTCTGCAAAACAGGAAAAAGCATGGGAGGTAATCTCGGAGAGTACAATTTAAGGTGACGACAAATAAGTTATAACTGAGTTGCAATCCACTCATATTCAGGGAAGTGTGTAATGAATTGCCCGTAATGTGCGGCACATTCGTGCCTGCATGTAATTGAAGTTGCCGCAACACCCAAAAAGAGTTTTGAACGTCGTTCGTTGAAGCGCATGTACACAAAGCTTACGGTGGTCATCATGGTGGTGACCACTCAGCTCGATTATAATGGAGGACTGACAAAGCGGACCGGCTGATCTTCAATTACACTCTTTTCAAAACAGTGTACTTCGCATATTGCTGACTGCCGTGGAGGGAGGGCACTGCCGAAAGCGGGTGACTGCATCAATGTACCGGAAAAAGCCCAGACAACTTTAATTGAAATAGTCAAATTGGCATGTGCTGTCATTGAAAAATGAATGCTCCTATGCTCCGCAGCTTTGTCTCTCAAACGGTTGCAATGTTTCTCTATCCGTGCATAGCTGGGCATCGAAGTCAACTGGGCAAACTGTTTTAAAAAGTGGCAATATTTACCTCATGCTGCTGCTATTGTGGCCAGAAATATGCTCACCTGGCCCATGACTGCCTTGTTTTAAACCTCGGAAGATGTCAACGTTTCTCGGCCAATTTGTTGAACAGGTTGGGTATACCAAATGGGCTTTTCCAGGATCGGCGCTGGCCACCCGGCAAGCTAATAGAAACCCCTTACATGTTGCATCTGTGACTAAGTCTCAACCTAACAATATGATCCAGAGCTAAATAGCCCAGTACCGTGAAGTGACCACCGGTGAAGAAGGAACCTCACAAGTGCCTACTTCGCTTGGCTCATGAAGCCGTGTCTTGTGTTTCCACTGCTGCCTTAAATGCACGAATATGACTTTCGCATGTGATTACAACAGAAGACAAAACCACATTTCAACTGAGTACACAGAAAGCAAAGATGCGTGATATTTACACAGCTTAGGTACAGGATATTGAAATAAATTCACGATACTTGATAACTGATGAGCCACATACGTTAATCTGCAGTTAATTTCACCCTCAGCTCGTTGCAATTGTTGGCCTATTTCCTAAACTGACTCAGGAAGGTCCGCACACATTGCATTATGTCTGCGTCGTTAACAAATGCTTAAATTACCCCCTTCTCTCGCGGCATAGTCATTTTAAGTCTCACTCCCATCTCTACGTGATGAGCCGCGAACTACTCAACCAGCATTGACAAAAGCCACGATGTGCACCATTTCCGGTCCCGCACGTGTTTTTATGGCGCCATGCACCCTCACCAAGGAGACGCTTTTTCTTGGTACAGCCAATTACGTCGTTATCACCGCACCGGGGCGAAAGAAGACAGCTAATTGGAGGACGTCAATAAAATGGCCCATAACCACAGCCCGCCGCGGTATTTTTCTATTGAGCCTGGCTAAATTTGGCAAGATGTAATTAAGTAGGATGTAATTAGAATGTCCGCAAGATGCGTCCCTTTACCCCAAAGAGCATAGGATCGGGCTAATGTGACGCTTATTATTGGGGTATTAACAACCCTATGACTGGTTAGGCAGGAAGCCTTGACAGTGGTTTTGAGACCATTTACTCGTTGACTACGGCTTGGAGATGGTGCCTGAGACAGAAGGATGAAATTTTGTAAAATTGTT